GTAGTAGTGTGTGTGTGTGTGTGTGTGTGTGTGTGTGTGTGTGTGTGTGTGTGTGTGTGTGTGTGTGTGTGTGTGTATACGTGTGTGTGTACATGTAGGTGTTGCGCCTCCCGATTCGCTTCCGCGATCAAGTTTACACGCAGCTCTCCGGGCCTGGTATGGAATTGGCGATGATGATCTCCTTCATCAGGTTGCGATCGGCTTTGAAGCTGATGGGCTCCCAGGACTTCGCGGAGAACGGGTTCAGCTGCCAAGTCAAGAGAGAGGAGATATCGAGTCTAAATCTAATTAATACCATCCGCGCGGAGAAACAGAATTGGAAATCGAAAATAGTAACGATCGCGCCACGGTGTCTTTGAGGACGCTTTCGGAAGATCGATATTATTCATAACGGTTATGCCGGTCGACAGCAACAGCTAAACTGAGATTGGCTCGATAGCCAGGTTTAATCTAGCTTAATTTATAAGCGATCGATAGAAATTCAATCTACGGCAGATTAAATTTCTAATCTTCTAAATCGGAGCTCGGAATCTCATACACTATTGAAACTTCCTACCTCGCGAAGAATCGAAGAGAAAGAAAACAGCAAGGGCACATTACCGTTAGCATTCTAATCCTTCTATAGAGATAATTAGAAATTATTATACGGGACAATTCGTTAAGGATCAAAACAGGTATAAAGCAGACGTGAAGACGAACGTCACAATTATTTTAGTTCGAGAATTATTTTAGTTCGAAATTTTTCTCCTTCGAGCGTGGAGCGGCGGAGATACGAATTGTATTCGATATCAAATTAAATTTACGGATTGCGGAATCTGCCTGATTTTAACTCCGTTACGACTACCGTATAAATTTCTGAATTAACTTACGCTGCATCTGTTTGTCTGCAGTCCCTGCTTGTGAATGTCGTAGGGCGCGAACAGCGTGTCCGGCCTCACCGGCAAAAACAGCTGCGGCTCCCGTTTGATCTTCTCTTGGTCTAGAACATCCACGTTATTCCGCTTTTCATTAACAGAACGATTCAAATAAAGCGCTGAAAGCAAAGGCTGAGAGCGACATTAAAAAAAAAAAAACAATTCTATTAAGTACACCGTTGAAAAAAAAAAGAATATCCTTTGGATAAATTTTATTTTTGTCAAATAGTTCCTGAAAATATCTCTGGTCCTCGGTGTGCTTTGCCATCCAAATAAAAACCTCGCTGTCCGAACATAAATTCGCCGCGGCTCAAAAATAGCACGTGTAACACGATCAATCGGAAAATAACAGGTCGAACAGAAAGCAATTACGCTGTTGTTCGGAGTCCCCTCAGTGTTTTATGAATCTTTAAAGGAAGAACCTAACGCGATTCTCCCCTCGTTTTCGTCGCTCGTAACGAAACAACATTAGACGAATATTAGATCGACCAGGTCAGGTCAGATCGCGAGCAAAAATAACGTCCGTCTAATGGTACCTTGGGGCGATTGTATGATGTCCGGTTGATTATTGAGCGCATAATCGGTGACCTGTTTCAGCGTGTACTCGACGAAGTACGTGTGGTCGCCGTGGGTCACGTCCAGCATCGAATTGTTCCTCGAGTCCGGCGGCGTGATTATCGGTTGCTTCATGTACGGCTCGATGTGTACCGGCGACGTGGTGCCGCGGCGTCGATACATCATCAGCATTACGGAGATCACGGTCGCGCCGAAGGCCAGCAGGCAGCCGACCAGCAGCAGAATTAACGGCAGCATACTAACTCCGGTGTCTGAAAAGCGAATATACACTCTCCGTCCTCTCCCATGCCGATGGATCGGACCGTCTCGTAACTCGACAAAGATCATTCTCCTCTTCTCTCTCTCC